CCCCTGAGTACTGCCTTTGCTGTATCCCAGAGGAGCTGGTAATTTGTGTGTTCATTTTTGTTAAATATCATGAACATTTGAATTTCCTTTCTAATCTCTTCCATGACCCACTGGTGATTCAGCAGTGTGTTGTTCAGCCTCCATGTGATGCTGGACTTTCTTTGGTGGCTTTTGGTGTTGAGTTCTAATTTTATTCCCTTGTGGTCTGAGAGAATGCAAGATATAACTTCAATGTTTGTGAATTTAGACAAGTTTGCTTTGTGGCCTAAAACACACATGAGTCTTTTAAGAGCACATTTCATATCCAAACCCAAGCATACAAAGATGGAATCATATAGTATATTCCTCAGTCTTCATCTCAACCCATACATAATCATTCTTTCCCTCCCCACTCCCCTCAAACCCTGGATGCCCTTTCCTACTCTTTCTTTCCTAAGACAGGATTGCTTTGAAAGGAATTCCAGTCATCAGATTCTTCTATCTCATTAGTATTTTGGGATGACACCCAACATGTGCACTCTTAAAAAAAAAGAAAGAAAGAAAAAGAAAAAGAAGAACATGTATCCAAGCCCTGGTAGCTCACATCTGTAATCATAGATAGTCAGAAGGCTGAGACCAGAGGATTGGGGTTTGAAGCCAGACAGGGCAAGTCTGTGAGACTCTTATCTCCAATTAAGCACCAAACATCTGGTAGAGCACTAGCCTTGAGCAAAAACAAAACAAAACAACTACTGGTTGCCAGTGGCAGTAATCCTAGCTACTCAGGAGGGTAAGACTTGAGGATTACATATAAGAGCCAGCCCAGGCAGGAAATTCTGTGACACTTTTATCTCCAATTAAACACCAAAAACCAACATGTGGAGCTGTGTATCAAATGGTACTATTGACCACAAGAGCTCAAAGACAGTTCCCAGGGCCAGCATTGGCCCCCACCAAAAAACTCCACCAAAAATCCCCACCTGATATTATTGACTATACCCCAAAATATTATATTTCAATAATATTAGTTTCTAATTAGTGTGTAATTTCCCATAATTGTCTAAAATCTCCTTTCACTTTAGTTCTTTTCAATCAAGTACTAAAGACTATATATTTCAGTCATTACCACAACTCTTCAGTTAAAGTTCATTGGTTTCTCACTTCTTTTCTTATTTCTCATAATTTTTACTGAAGAAACCAAAGTGTTTATCTCAGAGAGCTTATATTCCAAATTTGGGTAGATCATCTAAGGGCTTCCTATTCCTTATCTTGCTTAATCTTGTCAACAACTCTGAATGGGCACTTTGTGTAAATCGGGAAGTTGAAGTTTAGAGAAATTAATGTTTTGAAACAAGCACCCAAATCCAGATGTGTTGGCATCCCAGCCCATCACTTCCTATGCATGCAGTGCCTTGTCTGTGTTTCTCTTCAGACTGTGTGGCAGCCAGTGGGGGATTCCTAGCTGTGGATGTGGCTGTGAAAGCCAAGTTTTCTTTCAGAGAAATACTGGAGTTGAACAGCAGCTCGGCCTTATAGCAGAAGACTGTATAACTACTGGTCTCCAGATTGAACAGCTTTATCCACAGATAGGTTTTCCCTTTGTCCACTGTTTGTCACCACACCCACACCCACACACAAACTAGGTACTCGTAGAAGACTAAACATAACACATGAACTTAGCAAAGTCCATTTCTAATCATGCCATTTCCATGCTCACATCCACAATGCCTTCCTGCTGTAACCAACTAAATGCTCTAAGCTGAACCCCTTATGTCTTCTACAATGTGATGTTTCCAGTCCTTTCTCCCACTCTGCGCATTTATGCATCCTATACTTGACCACATTTAAGAGGTTTGCGGTTTCCCAGCATGTCAACACTTCATACTCCCCAAGTCTTTGTTCACATGGGCCCCTCCCCAGCCCAAAGTAGTGTCCCACCATTTCAGACCTTACAGCCCTTTGAGGGTTTGTTAGGAACTATGACATTTATTCTGTGGCTATGTCAAGTGCAATGTATGAGGATGTGGTGGCAGGAGCCAAGGGGGATGTTCCCTGGGTCTCCTGTGGAGGTCTGCAGACATCTCCCCTTTTTCACTCCTGCAGTCTTGCGGTTTCCCTGACTTCAGTCCATACCTGGCATACCATGGATGATGACAGCTCTGCTGATTTGTTGGGAAAACAAGGCAGGGCAGAGAGGCTGCAGGACCCAGTCCCCTCTGCTAGGTCCTTCTTACACACTGCCACATTCTGCCCTTCTTTGTGGCCCTTCCTCTTGCCACCTGAGACTTAAGAACTTTCAGGTGCCTTCCTCACGACTGCCCTTCCCTTTTTGCCCGTACTGGACTTGAACTCAAGGACCTGGTGCTCAGTAGGCTTTCCCTGCTTATAACTGACACTCTACCAGTTGAGCCAAACCTCTAGCCCGACTTTTTGCTGATTCATTGGAGATAGATTCTCCAGACTTTTCAGTCCCACTGGCTCAGCCTCTGCCTCAGCCTCCTGAGTACCTAGGATTACAGATATGGGCCACAGGTACCCAGCATACTGCTTGTACTAATTGGAGATGTGATAGTTAATGTTGTCAGCCCTTCCCATTTGGCTCAGTGCCAGAACTCTTCAGTTCTTCAGAGAGAGGTCCCAGGAAAGCCCCTGTGAGCAACTTTCCCTAGAGAAGGAATGTGAGACTTAGAGAATTCCAGGGTTTCCTTACAAAAACCAATTTGGGAAAAGGGCAGATGAAGAAACTCTAGGTCTTAGAGACATCCAGAAATGACATATAATTATCTACTGCACCTAGTGGAGGTCTCTTTCTCCCCTGATGAAGAACCATCCATTAAACCACAGTCCTTCCTTTAACTCATTACAGCAGCTTCTGCCATAGCAGTATTAGCCCCTTAGTTGTCCTTAGTTGTCCTTAGCAAGCCATAGGCAGGACTTACTTCTTCCATGTTCCTCCCTGCAGGTCTGAGGTCAGTGCTTTTTCCCATGGTAGATAATTAGTCATGAGGCAAATACATAAGAATATTATAGAATATTAATTATATAATGGAACACAATAAATGTTTGCTTAATTTCTTCTTGCTCTTAAGCTGAAAAAGAGAGATTAGGATACTGACTCTAAACTTTGCATTCTCACTAAAATTGGGACTTCTGTTGCTTTACAGCATCGTTATGTGGAATATTTCAAAATTGTAAAAAATGTGTTTCACGGGAATTTACCACCAAAGAGAAGGCTTAAAATTGAAAGAATTGTAGTCCATTCACTTCACGGTAAGTGCTTTGGAATTGAAGGATGGGACCTGAGGACGAGTGCTCCCATTCTTTGAGAGGGTTTTGCTCGCGGTTATGTATATTGATCATCATAACTCCTAGCTGTCTTAAGTTTCCCCACACATGAACTCCTCTCTGGAGCTACCCACTGGGCAGGCGATTCATAGCCATGATAGCAAGTCTTAGATGTCTCTGTCTTCCTTTGCCCATTTCTACTTGAGGGGAGAGCTCCCTCCTCTTGCCTTCTGTTCTCATGGCTACCAATCTCAGCTCAGGGTAGGCCTTTCAGGGTTGGAGCCTTTAGAGGTGAACCATG